GTTGTTTGGTGCATAAGCACAGACAACAGTCAGGACCCGTTCCCCGACCCGAAGACGCAGGGAAGCAACCCTTTCGTCTACCGGGGTAAACCCCAACGTACAGGCAGAGAGTCTGGGGGCTATCAGAAAGCCCACCCCGGCCCTCCGCCTCTCACCCGGAGCAACTCCAGCGAAGGAGAGAGTCCAACCCCTCTCAAGGACTAGGGTTCCAGAGCCAGAACTATGTGTTGAGGTGAGGCCGACTATATCTAGCCGGTAGCGCTCAACCTCTTCCACAAGCTCCGGCTCCTTCCCCGCCAGAGAGGTGACATTCCATGTCCCAAGAGCCAACTTCTGTAACCGAGGATCGGACTGCCAAGGCCCCTGCCTTGGTCTGCTGCCCAATCCACATTGCACTGAACCCTTCTGAATCCCTCTGCGGGTGGTGGGCCTGCAGGGGGACGAGCCCATGTAGCCGGTTAGGGCTGGGCCCGGCAGGACCCCATGGGCAAAGGCCAGACCACCAGGAGCTCGCCCAAGGGCCCCAACCCCAGGCCTGGCTCCAGGGCGGGGCCCCGGTAACCCTCCGGGCCTTACTAAGCATAAGACTGGATAAATGAGACTTGGATTATACTGCACGAGTTATGTGAGAGTGTGTAAACGGATATGATTTCAATTCGACAAGAATTTTCTCTGTTTCTTTAATTCTTGTTTCATCATGGACGGATGCAAGAAAAACACTTTCTTCACAAATTCAACATAACACGTCTTAAATAACTGATATGCAAATGGACATCTTTGAGGGTTGAAGTATTCCTTCCTATGTTTGTGCTGCAAACATTAGTCAGTTTGCAGAGAAGTTGGGTCTTTGTACATGTGCTAGAAACTGTTTATCTTAAGTATCTACTGCCCAGGCTGTATCAAGGTGACTCTATCAACCTTATATTATATTGAGGGTTGATGTCATTCAGTGTGTGTGTGTGTGTGTGTGTGTGTGTGTGTGTGTGTGCATCTAGTTTGTAGGCTTCTCGAAAAGCGACAGTATACTTGTGACAGCAAGAGCATATTAATAGGCTGAGACCAAGCCTGAAAATTGCACTTGTTCACGACTCTTGTTTTTAAATGGATTACATGAACATTTATATGAGCAGAGGTGGACATGGCTCTAAAAACTGCAACATACTCCTCTCTCACACACACACGCAAGCACACACACACACTGAGCGAGTGTGTTCCTCCTCAGTAATCTGATACAGTGGCAGTGTAATTAAATAGCAGCGGCCTGAGGGTATGAAGAGAGGGATGGAGACTGGGAGGAGGAACGAGGGAAGGAGGAAAAGACAGATAGAGTGCAGAGTGACAGAGTGAGCGAGACAAGGAGGGGGTGAAAAATACTTCACGCATGTCTGTGAAAGCTTGACACCAACAGATTGAGGAAAAGTGTGGAATTCATCTCTCCTTCCCTCAAACACACACACTCTCTCTTTTTCGCACACACCAACACACACTCTGGTGTGGAGGGTTGAGACAGAGTAATTGCTTGAGCCCCCTGCCTGTCATATCTGGCATGTCCGTCAGACAGATGGGAGCCGATACTGTAGATATTCGGTGTGCTGCTTTTGCCCACATCTTTTATTCAGAATGTTTTTTGGCCCCTTCTGCCACCCTTACCCTACCACCCACACCCTCCAATCAATATATTATTAGCAGTCATTATGCCCACATGCATATTTATAGGGAGAGAGTGGATAACAGTGAAGAAAGATTGGTGAAAAGAGTGTGTGTGGCTGTTTTAGTGGGAGTTGGAGCAGTTTACTCAGCAGTGAGGTCAGCTAGCTTGTTATTAAGGAAATTGAACATTTTCTCTCTCTCTCCCTCTGTGTTGGTTTTTTTCGTGTACATGCACACATGTAGGCGTGCCACAGCCCAGGATAGAGTGGTATAAGGACGCCGTGCCTCTTTCCAAATTGGCCAACCCTCGCTACAAGGTCACCGCATCAACTGGGCTGACGGTGCGCAGGGTGCAGCCAGGAGACGGAGGAATATTCCAGTGTTTCGCTCGCAACGCTGGCGGAGAAACTCAGGCACACGCACAACTCCTTGTATCCAGTGAGTTGGTCTGATACACAATAAAATACACACGTTTGCACTTGTATGTACACACCTACTGCCGCATTGCCTCTTTTCACAAGTCTTTGCTGTTTTATGGCTGATTCATCCCCTCTTGAGGCAACTATTGTCTTTCCCTTTGACTTTCTTTCTCGAGTATTAGAATTTTTACCTCTGCTGTACTCCTTTTTCATCTCTGTACGACTTTCTTTCTGTTGATGCACGCATGATGCAGGACAGCCATCGCTCCACCAAGCTTAGTCTTGGCAAGGTGCTGGAAACATCAGTTGGTCCAAACTGAGACCTTCATCAGAGCATGTACGCTTTGATGAAGGTCTATTAGACCAAAAGCTCAACAAGAAAGTGAAACACTGCTTAGATGTTACTGTGCGGAAGTCTTTTCTACCTTTCAGTGCACCTAAAATAACATGACAGTTAGTCCTTTTGTTAGCACATATGTCGCAGAAACATAACCCAAACTAGCAAGAAAAAGATAATATTTTGCAAAAAGTCTGAGCTGTAACTTACAATTTTCACATGATTTGCCAAGCACGTTGTAGATTTGTAACAGTCCTGTCTCCTTTGGCATATCTGCACTCAAATCTTTGGAGGTCATCTTCACATATTTTGAAACTATTACTCTCTCAACATCTTGCTAGCATGTCTGTGAGCCTGTCATATGTGGTCAGACTGCCCCTATTTTAGTAGTGCTGGACTGCTGGTGACTGATATTAAATGAGAGCAAGTCAGAGTCACAAAACTATCACTAAGTTTAAAAGTCCTTGTCTGAGAAGAGCTAATGATTAAGCTTCCAAGCACTAATTTGGATGTTGATTACCATGGCAGTAATTGAAGCTTTGAAGCATTGGGGTCAGCCCTATGTGCTGCTTTGCCTTGCAAAGTGAGTTTGAGTTGTGTTTGGGCTGGAAAATAGAACTATGTCATAAGTTTTTGTTTTTTTTTCTTTTGGGCAATATGACAAGCCAACCACAGCCCCACATGAAACACTATTTTGTTTTTGAAATTAACGTCACAGTCAGAGTCAGTCGAACTCTCTGCCTTGACTTTGCAGTGCGTGTCTGCTGTCGACGTCTGCACGTACGGTTATATTTGTCTCCGTAGAGTTACGCTCTGTTTAGTGAGCGTTATAATTAAAAGTCCCCATGGAGCTTCCACACCACCACCTTCCACATTTATGCACACACACGTAGTACAAGCTAATGAATAAAGCCTCCATTGATCAAAGAGGAGGCATGTGTGTTTAGATCAACACTGTCATTCTTTTTTTCCCCATTCTCCTGTTGTCTCTTCGCCATTAAGCTTCACTCTCGTTCCAGTGTTTTTCCACCAGTCTCAACACAGTATTAATCTGTCTGTCTTTGATCATCTCATGCTCTCTCCCTGTGTTTCAGGTGTGGCCCCCACGTTTACGTTACCTCCGTCTGACCAAACAGTAACTGATGGGAACACGGCCTTGTTTATGTGCCAGACGAGCGGAGCTCCCAAACCTGCCATCACCTGGAGGAAAGGTAACCACACACTCTGCATTACACACTGAGCACACACACACACACACACACACACAGCGACACAGACACACTGACATGATGTGTTTGTAATTAAAAATGTGGTTAATGACTTAATTACTTTCATTCACCTCAAGGCTATTTTTGTTATTTTCTCTCTCTGTCTCTCTCTCCGTAGGATCACAGGTCTTAGCTAGCGGCTCTGTCCAGGTTCCCAGGTTCACACTGTTGCAGTCAGGTGGTTTGCAGATTCAGCCAGTCAGCTTCCAGGATTCAGGAGAATATACGTGCATCGCCTCCAACTCAGAGGGAACCATCAACACCACCTCTACGCTCACCGTCTGGAGTAAGAAACACACACACACACACACACACACACACACTACCTCACACACAAACAAAAATACGTTAAACTGTTCAATATACATTTGCTAAACAGACTAAAACAGACATGGAACACTAATTTATCCGAAGCTGTCAAATCGCATTAGCTCAGGCTGGTGAGCAGCAGTGTGATTGGTTATCGATGCAGTGGGCTGGTGCAATGAAGTAGTCATCTGATTGGCTGAGTTAGAGGATGATTGATTAGCTGGTAAACTTACTGATGGTTGATTTTATACATAAACTGTTGAATTAGATTAACCACAGTTTTTTTTTCTTTAGATTATAAAAACATGAAACACCTGAGTCGAAAAAAAGCAACTTTAACATGATAAGACTAAGCAATTTTTCACATTATAACTGTGTGTGTGTGTGTGTGTGTGTGTGTGTGTGTGTGTTTTTGTGGGTGAGAGAAAGGAGGCCTGCTTATGTGCTATTTTGCTTCAGTAGTTCAAGGCTGAACTGTCAACTAATGAATTTCTCATTATTCTAGAGTAAATTAACACATTTAAATAAGACTGTGAGTAATATCAGAGAATATTAAACAAATTTCATTTATGCCTGTAAATATATCTCACCTGTGTCAACACTTCTCCTCTTCTCTGTCTTTCAGTGTTGAATGTTGAATGCCTTCTCCTCTGGATCTTTTACCGTTTCTTTTCTTTTTTTTTTTTTTTTTTTGCAGGTCGTACAGTCATTTCTGTGCCTCCGACAGACCAGCGTGTTATCAAAGGAACCACGGCTATTCTGGACTGTAATGCCACACATGACCCCAGAGTCAATATCAGGTACCTTCTTGTCTTTTATATGTTTACGTACCTACATACGTCCTCTTGTAGTGCCTGCTTCTTTTCTCTGCTCCCCTGTGTGTCTGTGAATACATACAGTATAGAGTACATATGTCCTTCCTCTATTGCAGCTTCAAGTGGGATCGAGGAGGTGTGCTGGTTCGTCCCTCCAGTGGAGGCCGTGTCTCCATACGCCAGGGCTCCCTCACTATTGGCCAGACATGGTCTGGTGACATTGGTGATTACACCTGCATGGTGACATCAAAGGCTGGCAACGATTCTCGCTCCGCACGACTTGAAGTCATGTGAGTTCAAAGAATCACACAAAGCACACTAATTACTGATGTTGTTACCTTCAGACGGACCCAGGCTAGCTGTTTCCCTGTTTCCAGTCTTTGTGCTAAGCTAGGCTAACTAGCTGCTGGCTTTATCTCAACGCGTAGGAGTGGTATCAATCCTCTTATCTAGCTCTCACCTTAAATTCCACACCAAAGTTTGCGTTTCTGTTATATTGTATACATTTGATCTTGCTAGTTTTGGTTTACATTGCAACAATGCAAGGGTACCAAAGATGTGATACATGACATACCTGCTGTATGCTCTGTCGTCATGACCTATGTGAGCTACATCCCTAAACACTTGACAGTAATTGGTTTGTCGACTGGCTCTCCCTTCCTTTCATTTCCCCTCTCTCTGTTATTCTCTTGGAAAATGATTAAAAAGTCTTGTAATTGTTTTAGTTTCTTCCAACTGACTCTTTATAAAGTAGTTGGACCAAATGTCAATAAAACAATTAGTCTCATCCTCCTCTCCCCATGTGCTTCCCCAGCTCATTTTGTTGTGTTGCGTTGTTTGCGGACACCTGTCTGCTCTGAGCGCACCTCCAGTCACTTTTCTCTCACTCACACTCAAACACACACACACACACACACACACACACACACACACACACACACACACACATTACACTCAGTTACTCTTTAAAGCAGCTACAACAGTTGTATAACATGATGATCAGAATCAGAATCAGAAATACTTTATTGATCCCCGAGGGGAAATTATTTATGTTACAGGTGCTCCTTGCAAGAGAGGAAAGATACGTGAAAATATAAGAAATTTAAACAATAGTATTTACAAATATATAGTTAAATAAACAGGA